ATTTTCGGCCAAATTGTGGACCAATTGTCGCAATCCGTGCCAATCAGAGACCGATTCAACAGCAGATTCTTTGCCATCGAAGGCACCAATCTTTCGGTGGCCGAGTGCTCGAAGATGTGAAGACAAACCACTATTTATTTCAATTTACAATACGTTTAAACTATCATTTTTGATCACATACTGTGTTATTGTTATTATCTCATAACAAATGACTAGAAATTTTAATCCAGAAGCTTTTAACTTTATGATGTTTTAAAAATTTGTTTTATCTGAAGGGAATTTTTTAATCAAATTTAACTTTTATAAAATTAAATCAAAATCAAATTGACATTTGTGCTAATTAACGATTATTTGTAAACTTGATTACACTCTTTAGAATAAACTACAATGTATTTTTGATATTCAAATTACGGTATGGCATTTACTTGAATTTACGAACACATTTTACATTATCAATACTTACTTATACTCACGTTACTACAGTATTTCTAATTGATAGGTCTCTCTCTCTCTCTCTCTCTCTCTCTCTCTCACTCACTCACTGTTAAAACAAATAGTTTTGTGAATCATTTGCAAGTTATAAAGAATTTAAATCAATTGCAAAGTAAGACTTGAGTGAAATTGGCGGCAATTAGTTTGAAATTAATTGGTTTAAGTCTATAAACAAATCAATGCCTGTTCTGATAACACACTTATACTTTTGATAGACTATCAGTTCACCAGTGAATGAAGTGAATCCCACTTTTAGATATCATAAAATACAATAACTATTTGAAAGTTTCTATTACTGAATATAGCATATCGAGTCATTTACTGTGAAATAACATAATGTGTTGTATATATTTATTATTCACATAGCTATACATTCATGATTTCCATCAAAATAATGATTTAAAAAGTGAAAAATAAGTGTCAAAATCTGTGGTTATATTGAATATAGTGTGGGTGTGTCTGAAGAATGTCTTGCGGTTTCTTCGGCAGTGACTCTTCCGTTGATTTTGACAATATTTCGCACGAATTCCGGCCCCAAAGACAGGTCAGTCCACAACCGCACCAAATATATGATAAGCTTTGGTGTCACGAGATTTGCAGACCTCATAGACGACTCCACTACTTGTCAACTAAATCAATGAATGCTTTTCTTTAAAAAAAAAGTGAAAATCAAATCAATATTTATGTCTCAAAATTTTTATGAATAAAAGTATTCATTAAATTTAGTCAAGTTTTCATACAAAATGAAAGTCAGTTTTTTTGAACGAAATTCATGAGATTTTAATTAAATATTATTTTATTTTAATGATAGTTGCGGTTAATATGCGGCTACAACTCGTGGCAGTGGCTGTTCCTCATACTGGCCACCATCCAGGTGTCCGCAATTGTCATATACACAGCACTGGAGTTGGATTCCCTGTTAAATCACAGCCAATTGATGGACACATCATTTGTCATTAATGTCATTATACTTGTAATTAGTGGTAAGTGTCATACAAACTACATGGTTATGCCCGGGTCATTCTCACTCACTTTATACTAACTTTTATTTAAAATTATTCATAATATTCCCTTCAGACTCAATACAATACTATTTGTTCATTATATTTAATTTAATTTAAATTTTTGTTTCAATTTATGTAGCATTTTCACTACTATTCTTATTTCATGGGGTGTTTTGGGACAAACAAAATGATATTTCACTATATTTGGTGTCAATGGCTTTGGTCACCACTTATATCGCTATTGAATTTTCATTCACCATAGACTACAACTCCATAAATAAACTGGTATTTAATTAGTAATTTTATATTTCTATACACTATTTGTTATTACACTGTATTCCTGTGCCTCGGATAACAGATACCTCTTATAACTATCTTATCTATTGATAACAATTCAGACATTTTTTGTCACCATTTGTTGTGCACTTTAATTGTTAGCAATTTATTTATTAATTTATATTTTGATATTAAAATTACTAATTAATTTGAAATTAATTAAAAATTTCTATTAATTTATTATAAATTACTAGTAAATCCATGCATATACAGTAATCCTTAATTATTGCTTCGTTTTAAATACTGTACTATTTTGCATTACTACTAATTGTATACTAGCTAATTTTATAAAATGTAATTTAAACTGGTTTTTATTATAATGTAAACAATAATTTATTTAATGTATTACGGTAACATTTTCAACATACCTAACCTTTTTATGATTTAAACTAATAATAGCTAATAATTTAAGCAAATATTTAGTTAACTATTTATAACTGGCCTATAATTACAGGCCTTTTATTATGAAATCCTATTTGAGGCACTCTTGCCATTGAATTATTTGATGTCATATTGAAATTATTGGCAAAATTTGTTAAATACTTTGAACTTCTAAACAAGTATTTGTAGATAAATTCATTTATCTAAACATAAAAATATTGTTTTGTTTATATTGTATATCAACATATTTTTTCTGCACATTTTCACCGATAATTATATCTCCAAAAAAACTCGTGTCTCACTCACTATCTCTCGAAATCAATGAATATTCAAACGATTTGTTTGATTTGAAACATAATTTGTACTTTTTATTTATTCATATATGTATTAAAAACATTTTTAATGATTTCCGTCTTATAAGTGTTAAGATATATAATTGAATTAATTTTTATGCAAAAAGATTTATAAGATTTTTAATTCATGAAAATATTGAATGATTTATATTTTATTTTTTACTCAAATTTATTTATTATTCATCAGATTTTGTTTATTACATAAAACTTTTAAGCATTTAATTTATGATTAAGACATAATATGAAATATTTTCATTAAAATTTAATGACATTTTCTATAATCACATTCTTAAAGTTTCTAAAAATTATTTATTTATTTATACATTTCAAAATAGCTATAAATGTTTTCATTTAAAAATAATTAATCATTTTATATAAATATGTTTGCTAAATATTTCAACATTTTATAAATAGCTAATAAAACTTAAATATAATTACTGGTGAATGTATTAAAATTTAATTTCTATATTTTCTAGTGAATTGATTAGTTATTTAAATTTTATTTAATTTCACATTTATTTGAATTTTTAAAAAACGTCTTTTATAATTACAGACATATTAAATGTTTAGTATTTAATTAGCATTAAATGTTACACATGATTAGCATATAAACTAATTGTTACAAACCAAATTACGAAATACTTTAAATTACTTTTTAGAAAAATTTAGATTCAATACATACCTCTAGAAAAACAGGCATTAATTTCTGTAATTATTTGAATATTTTAAACACTCATTAAATAAATGATAATTTCATTTTCGTCTGAAAGGCATAACAAATGAATTTTACAAAAAAATGTTATTTCGCAAATTATTTATGATTAATGGCTTTATATACAAAAATTAATTTTATTTTTATATACAGTATTTCTTTTCGTTGTGAATATATTTATCATACATTTTTTATGTCCATTTATTTTCAGACCCGACTTTGCGTGTCCATATCGTTCACGTCGGTGATGGTGATAGTGTCCAGGTGTGTCAACCATTTCTCTCAGGAATATTCCATCATAGGAGTAGCCCCGGCACTTATATCCATGTACAAGAACCAGTGCTATTTCCAGATTTTATTGAAGTTAGACTTCCTTAATTCGGTTAGTCATACATTTTTTACACTAATACATACGCTAGTGTTAATTTAAAATTTTAATTAATTATTTATCACCCAATAGTAGTAGTAACTTAGGTATGCTAAATGAGTAGCCGATTGATTTATGTTTCATAAACACCTAATGATTTACAAATTAGTCGATTAACCGTTTGGTGTGTATTGTATTAACTCATGAAATCAATTAATTACCAAGTTGCTAATAGTGTTTCGCATTATTGTCCTAAAAATTGAGGTTATTTTGCATCTCACAAAAGTACATTGCATCATTTGATTGCAGTTTAATTGCGATGAAGTACATTGCTGGCGCATTTTTTGCACGCA